CCCCAAAACCCCAAAACCCCAAAACCCCAAAACCCCTTTTTATATCATTAAAATAGAATCCACAATAATTTAATTTAGACACCCAATGTTCTTAAGTAAGCAAGCTTTAGAAGATGAAATGGAGCATGACCCATTCAAGGGGATGTTCGATGACTCAGTCATACCAGAATTTGGCCAGGCCCTACAAAATCTGGACAATTCTGGAGATTTGTCACTGGAAGTATTCTCACCTAAGACAATCGGGCAAGAGGAGAGCATGGTCTGAACTGAGCAAGTAACAGATAAGCAATCTAAAAGGATGAGCAGCAGGATGCGGTCTCGTAAAGCCCGCCAGAGGAAGAAAAAGTACCTCAAAGAGCTTGAACTTAGGGTCAAATATCTTGAGAAAGAAAATATCCGGCTTCAAAACCTGGTAAACCTGAAATAAGCTGGAAGAGGCTAAGGATATGAGCTTGGACTCCAGAGCTTTCACTTGTGACTTTGAACAACAAGTTAGAGAAGTTTGGTCTAATATAATAGATCTTAATACTTTAGATAAGAGGGATGAAAACCCTCCTATCAGTGAGATGTATGATGATAGTTTTATGAAGATTCTTGAGAAGCATAAAGTATTTATAGACTCTGTGACTCGGATGCTGGTCAACAACATTCACTGAAATGCCACTCCTCTCTACTGGAAAGACCTTTCTGAGAAATAAATACACTACTGACTACAGCATCATCAAGAAACTTAACAGTCTGACCAAGTATCAGACACCAGAATTTATGGAAACCCATAAATTACAAGAAATAGACCTATTTGTTGCATCACTAAACCCGACTAAGACTCAGTTTAACTTCTTGAAAAATATCTATTTTAAAAAGGAATCCGAAATTAAGACTAAGTGCTTGCAAGCTATCAAGAAAGTACTTGATGCTAAGAGTCTGATACAGGAGTCTTATGTGGAGAACCACCTCTTGATAGGCCTCCTTGCCAAGTCAGGAATTTTTACTGATGACCAAGTAAGCTATAAATACTCATTTGTTAGATTATTAACTCCAAAATGAAGGAGACTATACTTAGGAAGGATAGGAATTATCAAGATATCTGGAGAGTCAAATCTGTCCCCTACACAGTGAGGTACAAGCTCTCTCGGGACAAAACCATAGGAAGGGCGGTCAGAAAGTACCTCCCAAAGGAAGACTACAACAAAGATATAGAATTTAGCAGATTTTATGTAGATGTTGCGTAACTCTCAGAATTTAAGGATTTTTATTCTGGCTTATAAAGTCCTTGGAATATCTACAGAAGAGTTCAATCGAAGGATTCCTTTCAGGGGTTTTGGGGTTTTGGGGTTTTGGGGTTTTGGGG